TGAAGAGAAATTAATTTAAGAATTTTTGAGGGATTTTTTTTGCTCTTTTGCTCATTGCCAGTACAGTTTTTTAAAAGGTGATCACTTCTAAAAGATACTTTTTCTCATGACTATATTTTTCATCATAAGTCAGTGCCTGTATGTTTATAGATGGATTTCAGAAAGCTTCCACTGTGGCCACCCAATTCTTGTTCAGAAGGAAGCATAAAGGTCCCAGTCAAGTGATCTTCGGACAAAAACAATATATAGCTTTAAGCCTAAAAATTCAAAGTCGATTGCTTCTAGCAGGTCATTTGACTGATACATGAAATACAGTTCCTTTGCTCATTCTAAGTCTGAAAGAGAAACAAAATATTAAGACCAAAAAGGAAGAGAGTTGCAGTGTAACAGAAGGCCATTTGGGCAGCTGTTTTTGACATCAGTGTTATAGTGACAGACAAAGTCCTGTGTCCTCAGGCTTTTGTGTGGAGCAGGAAAATGGGCAGCCTGGGAGAGAAGCCATGTCCAGCAGGCAGGGAGAGCTTCAGGGTGTGGCAGACTTCACAGGGTGAGGAAGAAGAGATAGTGATGTGGAGCCGGTACAGTAAATTTTGAATGTTCTGGTTTTCTGACACTTTAGAACTGAGCCGTAAAACCATAAAAGTTTTCAGAGACATACATGACATGGCAGCTCATTTCAGCAGGATTAAAGAACTAATACGAAATGTGTCAAAGACATATGAGTGCAAGTGGGGTTATTTTAGGCTCTTGCCTGTTCCTAGGGTTCCTTCTGTCATTTTTTAGAAAATGCTGTTTCCTATAAAGAAGTTCTTTAAGTTTTATTTGAATCCCAGCTGAAAAGCAGAGACATCCTACATGTTCCTCACTCCTTTAAGGGACCTCACATTGGCAGCATCCCCCCAAGAGGAGAACCCGGATGAGCACGTTCCTGTTTTTGCAGATACACACAGCCCTCCTAATATGCATTACCTGCTCCAAGCCAGTGGAGGGCTTTAAGATAATGCTTGTGCTTGCATTACCTCCTGTGCTCAGAAAAGGCAGCAAGTTGCTAGAGGATGTCATGGGCACAATGAGACAGCTGCAGCTGTGGATAAGAAAATACTGACCTTACTGTTGCACTCATTCAGCCTGAGGCTGGGGACTCTGATGTCCTGGCACTGGCCTTTCCACGCCAAGTACAAGGACTTCTTGACTCCCAGGCAGCCCCTGCATCCCATGGTCCTTCTAGATCCTATCTGAACCCCAAAGTTCCTTCCTTTAGTGTTTGAATTGCCTCTCTGGAGTAGGTCTTGTTTCCCATCCTACCACTTCTAAGCAGGTGGCCTTAGTGATGATGTGTCCAAGAGCACTTCTGGGATAGAACTGAGGTGTGTTCCCTTCTCATCTGTGCATGCTTCATGGCTTCTCTTGCTTGTATAACCCATTGAAAGAAGTTTGGCTCCCCCCAAACCTCAAAACTCTTGACTGGTTTGCACATACCAAGCTTATCTAATTTCCACTGTCTCCTGCTACTCTGCTGAGGACTTAATAGTATGGACTCTTCCAGGATCCAAGACAGCCCTGGCCCTCTGTTCAGTTGCTTTGGGTAAGAGCAGGCTGTCTACATCTACTCTCTCTGGGAGCAATGCAAACCCACCAGGCTTCCCTTTGTACTGATGATTAGGAAGAAGCCCAACTCATCTGGTGGTTCCCATCTCTAGTGGAGATGGGAAATGCACTCTCAAACCTGGGTTGGCTGAAGATATGGCTGGAGGAGTCAGCTCATCTGCCTGACCCCTCTGCCTCTGTTAGCCATAGGTGCTCCTAGCGCTCTATATCATTAAAACCCCAGCAGCTGTTTATCACAAAGGAACAGAAATTTGTCTCAAAGTTTGAAAAGGGCCACATGAAGTCCTAAGCACATGAAAGTGTTTCGGACTCCTCCATCCTTGCATGATCTCAGGAGTCTGTTTTGGCTCTAAAACAGTATAAGGGTTGCAGATGAAAGTAAAAGAACTCCTTTATACCAAAAACTCAAAAAATAAACATAGTATTTTCTAACAAATGAGAGAAGAAACTGTAGAAACAGGCAAGAAGCCTATGAAATGCCTATTCATCATATAAAAATGACCAGGTATTTAGTAAAAACTACATTGTGTATAAACCGAGTAGAAGCAGCCAACTCAACTCATATCTACTGAGCACCTATCAAGGACCACCTCAGGTACAGATGCAGGGATGCAGCAGCTCCTCCATACATGCAGCCATCATTCTCTGAGACCAGCCTTGGGATGTGAGAGCCCACAGGACCTGTGTGACCTTTGTGGTCCTTGCTGCCGCTCCTTGAAGCCTCTGTGTCCTCCTTCAATCTAAAGTCAGGAAGAAGGCTGTCTGAGAAGTACACTGATCAAACTGGTTTGTCTCATAAATGAACCCAAATTACCTATAATTCTCTGTTTCTCCTCTTGTCTGATGTCTGCCTTTAAACCATTCCAGACCTGCTAGTATATGCATTAGGACCTTGCTGAAACTAAACCCAATTATTTATCAGCTTGTCTTAGTTTGTTTTTTTCTGAGCTAGTAGGACTGTTTAGATTTTTGGATGTGCTTCTTATTTATGGCTTTTTCACTGTATTTACACAACCATAGAAAACACACACATGCCCCTTACATACTTAGTCCTTCTAAGTGCCATAAAAGCAACATGGCTCATAGTAAACACTTATGTAGAGAACTTTTACCTTGCACCAAACATGGGCCAAAGCATTTGGCTAAATGACTTTATCAGACCTTAAGAAGCCCTTTCAGGTAGATGCGATTAACATCTCCTTTTGCAGCTCTGAGAAGTTAATGAAAAGGCCCCAGGTTATGTGGTTAGTGCAGACGTTTTTAATCAAACTCTACCTAACAGGAAAATTCTAATATGTGGTTTATCACATTACAGTATCAGAACTTGCCTCCCTTATTATGACTGTTGAATGATTTAAATTCAAGTGAGAAATATTACACAGACTCAGAATCAAGGTTTTAATCTGGCCTTTATTCTGCCTTGGGCCATTGCTGTTTTCTACAAATAAGAATGTTTCTTTCCACATTCTCTCAGGCTTTCACAGAGAGCAAATTGGTCAAGCAATGGCTGTGGCTCTTCCACATGGCTGACACTGACAGAGGATCTACAAACTGCAGTACAGGGTTTCAGGATAAATCCTGAGGGCATATGACTGACCTTATCAGATACAAAAGCTACAATTCTTGTTATGTAGGTCTTGCTTTATCTTGATCTTAACCATCCAGCAGAAAAGTATAAAAATGAGGTATAAAAAGTAAAGTCATATTATTATGCTGAGCTGTAAAAGACTCGTCAACAACTTCTGGCATTGCCAGTCCTACGGATAACCCACTACTATTATGGACTACTGGACTCCTTTGGAATATCTTGCTGAGCTAACACACCTACGATATTCAAATGACAAAACTAAACAAAAAAAGGGGGATACAAATGAATGACTATTTTGTATCTGTATATTCAAAATAGGATAGATATACAGCTACATTCTCTTAATTCAATAAATAGATTTGTTCTAAAAGTGTAAATAGGATATGCCTGCATCTTGTACAATGAATAGCCACTAAGAAAACAATATGCAATGTATTAATTATTGAAACTGTCCTACTAATTTGATTTGAAACTATCTCATTGCTATTTGTTTCTCAATAAAATTATGGGAAAGGATAAATAAAATAAAAACTGCCATAAAAAATAATGTTTCTTTCCTTTTGCTGTTACCTCAAAAGTTAGGACGGTAGTACCTCCACCAAGGAAGTGTGGGCTACTTCTTTCTCTGAAGTCCCCGTGGACTGTATTGGCACAGCTTGTGTCAGATATATTATAAAATTTGTGCAGTCATGTTTATCATCATGTGAAGGTGTGAGCTCCCTGTAGTCTCCACCCACCTGCTTCTCTTTCTGTGAATCCCTGGGGCTGGGCACATCCATAGCAAATATTTGCTGAATACATTTTCAAATGCTTTATTCATCCTAGTTCCCTTTAGTAACTCATTCTATATTCATAAACTCCCTGAGATTATCTTTGGAGCCTATGTCAAACTTGTATTACTTTATAAGTTAGCCAGAAGTATAAGTTTTCTATCTGCTTGATAAAATAGTGATTTTTTAATGTGTTTGTTACAATATGTTTCTTTCAGATTTTCTTGAGTTGAACCCTTATATGCTATTGATAGGAATGTAAATTGGCATATCTATTATGGAAAATAGTATAGAGGTTCCTCAGTAAATTAAAAATAGAACTACTATCTGATCCAGCAGTCCATCTTTTGAGTATATACCTGAAGGAAATGAGACCAGCACTTCAATGAGATATATCCACTTTCATGTTCATTGTAGCATTATGCAAGTAGCCACGCAATTGAACCGCCCAAGTGTGTGCGAACAGATGAATGCAAAAATGAATTGTGATATGTACATGTAATAGAATATTATTCAGCATTACAAAAGGAAATTGTCACATTTGCAATAACAGAAAAACCTGACAGACATTACATAAAACAAAATGCAGACAAATAGCAATGCATAATCTCACTTATCTATGGAGCCTAAAAACATAAAATTGATCAAAACAGGAGTAGAATGGTGGCTAGCAGAAGTCAGGGAATGGGAAGAATGGGAAGACCTTAGTAAAGACTGCAACCTGGAGTTATGAGAGGAATAAGTTCTACACACCTAATGTAAACCATGGTGACTAAGCAGGAATGTATCACACAGTGGGAATTTGGCAGGCTCATCATACACACAGGAAGGTAACTATGTGAAGAGCTGGATAGGTTAATTTAACCATAGTAATCATTTCACTATCCAAATGCATATCAAAACATCATATATGTACTCCTTAAATATAAATAATCTTTGGGAAAACATTCCATGGAATTATAACAACATCATTGAAAAGCAATTCCTTCCTTTTAGAGTTATCCTGTCTTTAAGTGATTCTTCTTGTTTTTCAGGAAGGTGATGTCTGGCCCAACTCAACAACAGAGATCACTGTGTACTTCCATCCCGTGGAGGCCAAGACCTACCAACAGACCATTTACTGTGATATTTCAGGTACAGACTTCCTCTGTGTGACCAACTCAGGCTACCAGGTACAAGAGCATAACGTGGGGCGCACACGTGTGCTTGTGTGTGTTCAAGCCACGGTCCTGTCCAATCTCAGGAAAAGGACATAGGATTCAACCTAGGAATGTCTCCCTTATTCCTAGGCAAACCAAACTTTAAAATACCTTAGAATTATAGTGGTAGGCGACGAGAATGGAGGAACTGTGAATCTGGGTTTCCCCTTTGATTGCTTAAAGCAGTAAGATCATTGCTTGTGACAAACTCTCTCAGAGGTGTTTTTGTTTGTTTCATACTACCTGGTTACTGACTTTTTCATGGCTAGGTTTTATCAAAATTGTGCATTTTTTTCAATGTTTAGTGGGCTTCAAAAGCACTCTGATCTCTTAAAAGTCCCAACGAAGGTACACACAGTAACAGTCTGATGGAATCAGAGAATTGGACACATTCAGAAGAATTAAAGCAGAAAAGTAAATACATTGAGGATGGTGGAAGATGACTATTTTCCACTCCTGAAAGAGGAAGAAACAAATGTGAAAAGGAGGAGAGCAGAGATAAAATCTTTAATACTGGGGCAGAATTAGAGTTATCAGTATAATCTCATGGTTGTTGGTATGTTTACATAGATACAGAAAATATATAAGTAAGCTTATTCATATGTGCGTATGTAAATACATTTGTTGTGTGCACTAAAGAAGCTGGAGGACTTGAGACAAGCTGTCCCATGTTTACAATATCCTTATTATAAAATCAAAGGTAACTGATAACCGTAGTTAAGTCTTCTATTTATTCTGATAGCTCTTATTCACTGAAGGGCCAAGTGTTCTGGGATTACATGTATCCTCTGTGTTCTCAACCTGTAGTCTTTCAGAGTATGTCTCTAAGGTCAAGTGGGTTCTTTCCTTACAATCCGTTAGTCACTGTGTATTTATGGCTTGTGTTAGTAATTTACTCCAGAAACTTCACTCTTCTGTGCAGCTTTGGGTTTCTTCCCCCTGTGGTTTCTAGTACCTTATTTTTCCACTCCTCCTAATTTCCTCTTTTCTTCTCATTGAAGACATTTTCCTCAGAGCCAGCCAGCTTCTTATTCTAATTCCGATGTGTCACCTCCTGAATACTTGTCATTCAGGAATTGTAAAGTATATATTTCTCTGTCTGTTGCTTCACATCTTTCACTGTCACTCCTCTCAAGAAACTTTCACTTGTGAAAGTGGAAATTTTGCTCTGTGAATGCCTGAAAATGTCTTCCTCTGCCCTCATGCTTGCTTGGTAGTTCAGCTAACTACAGGACCTAAGTACAAATTATTTCTCCTTACAACATTGAAGACATCATGCCAAATTTATTATAAAAATTCCAAAGCCTGAAGATCATCTAAGTCTCATTACTTTATAGCTGCCCTCTATCATTTCTCTCTAGAACATTGTAGGATTGTTGTTATTATTGTTGTTTGGTGCTTGGGGGCTGAAATATGATGGAGTTCTGGTCAGAAATGGGCTTTTCTTGCTCATTCTCCTTGGTTTCCTATGGGCCATTTGAATCTGATGACTCATGAGTCTCTGCAGTCTGGGAAACTCTGTTTCTTTGATGGCCTGTACCGCATTTATTTTTCATTTTATGACTTTGAAAAACTTAACTAATTCAATATAAATTCTGAAAGATCTAATATCAGAAAACAAGATCCTGATCTCCAAATGCTACTATTAATGGACAGTAAATATAATTGAAAGTCATTAAATCAGGGTGCCCAGAGAAACACTGCTGTTTACTGGTCAGGAGCCCTCAGAGGCAGAGTCCTCTGCAGGGACAGCTGACCTCAGCTCCCAGCAGACCTGCAGCCAGCCCTTGGGTGGAATCCTTGTTCAAGCACAGGACCGCCTCCCTGCATTCAGATCACTGGCTTCATTACTGCTGTTCGCTTACTCATCCTGGCCATTTGTCCTTTATACAGATAGAAACAGCCTCTAGTCACTCTTCAACATAATATTTTCCCTTTGCAGTTGAGGCCATTGTTTTCAAGAAAAAATTTTGCTATAATGGTTTTGCTATCTTGCATTTTGGCGTGTGTGTGTGTGTGTGTGTGTGTGTGTGTGTATTTGGTATAGGGTCTCACTACACAGCTCAGACTCGTAGCGATCCTCCTGTTTCAGCCTCCCCAGTGCTGGGATTACAGGCATGCACCACCATGCCCAGTCTCAGTAGCTGGCTCAGCGCACCCTGGGGCAGGGCCAGCAAGGCATGTGGTGTGGAAGATTGAACCCCAGTCCCTGTGCTTGCCTATGCAGGCGCTCAGTCCTCTGAGCATCTTGCTGGCCCCATTTTGGCACTTTCTTGCAAAAATACGAGTATTACTCAAAAACTTAGAGTATCTTGGTTTTTCTTTTTCTCTGCTTTGCATTCAGATGAAGTAGGATCAACTGCTAAACTAGCATTGTCTATTGTTTTAGAAGAAACTGGGCTCAAGTTTTGTTCTGACAAACTTCTAAGGCATCTTTTACTTCTACCATCATATTTTGTTTTCTGTTCCCTTGTATAGCTCATTATTCTTTTACAGATACAATTTCTTCTTATTGATCTGAGCATAATAATTTGCAATTTCCTTTACTTAGGAGAATGTCTTCCACAAATTACCTGGCGTGTCAGTTATTAGTCCTCTGCATTCATCAAGTCCCTTCTGAAGTTTTCCAACCCCTGATTTTACATTCATATGTAAGAACAAGAACATGCATTTACATTTGAAAGTGGCCTGTGCTACATGGCTCTTTGGGACTGACAAGTTCCCAACTAAAGTATGGCTGCCATGGTTATGTTAAACCCGGAGAACAAGTAGGAGTGAGGCACAATCCCTGAAGTCCTTCAAACTGCAAAACTTGTGCTCTTCTGCCCTATCCCTCATGGCTTCCATCTGTGTCTGTGTAGTCACCTTCATCTGTGTAGAAAACGTCAGGCAGTCTAACACTGTGCAGAAGAAAGGACTTCCAGACCCAAATTGTGTCCCCACTTCCCCAGCTGTGTGTCTGTTCTGATCCTGTTTCTTACACCTTCCCTGGTTGTACCCATCACCTAACTTTCATGAGCCTCATTTTCTTCCTTTTATATATAATTTTACCTATGTATTCATCCCTAGGCAAAATAGTATCACTGTGGTTGTTCTTGAAATTCTTAATGTTGGAAATCGTAATATGTGTCTTCTGCTCCTAGCACCAAGAAAATGAAGCTATTTGATAGATATTGATTAAAGTGAACTAACTTAAAAATAAGTAAATGAGCAAATGAATCTTAGTTCGATCTGGTCTCTTACTTGAGCACCAATGTATGGTTCTCAAGGCAGCCCCAGGATGAATGTAGAACAGAGTAGGAGTTTCTGGACTAACAATCTATACCCACACTTCAGACCAGCATCTTCTATTCCGAGCTTCTTAATGGCTTGAAAGAAATGCTAGTCCATTGGTGTTCATATGGAAGCCCCCGTGCCACAGTGGTGGGGTCTCCCTCCCACCTCTGCCCCCCAGGACATCGCCTGTGCTCGGCTGTGTGCCAAAGGGTTTGTTGCTCTCCAGGAGGTTCCCAAACATTGCACAACTGGCCGTCTTCAGCTGTTGCTTTGTTTGCAGTTTTGAATTCTGCCACAGAATTCACATCCTGGGTAAACTGAATAGTGTAATTTTCCATCTGCATGACATTTTTATTTTGTTAGCAGTTTATTAAAAGATAGGAGTGCCAAGGAAAGGGCTTTGTTTACATAGTAATTCCATATTATCTTTTCTGTAAATTCCATGCAATTCTGTGTGTCTTTTCAAGAGCTGGTGATGATTCCTTACTATTACCTTCAATGAGCTGGCAAAACTTCCTGGTCTTGAGTCACTAAGAAATACTTCTGAGGCAGATAGGCTCCTTCCCTTCTTTTGTTTTGTTTTGTTTCCTATATATACGGCACATGGAAGTGAAGCAAACACATGTGAGTATACTTTGGCTCGTGGCTTTGCACATTTAAAAAGTAGAATACACCATTATAACATTACTTTTTAAGTATTACTTGGAACATCATCTCATTATCAAATAGAACACAAATTCATACATTTATGCAACAGATATTGTAGTGGGCTGGATGTGGTGGCCCATGCCTATAACTCCAGCACTTGGGACGCTGAGACAGGAGGACTGCTGCAAATTTAAGGCCATCTTGGGCTATCTAGTGTATTTAAGGTTAGTATGAAGTATATAGTGAGACCTTGTCTCAAAGCAAACAGAGATAGATTATAGATAGATAGATAGATAGATAGATAGATAGATAGATCTTCTTAGAAATATCTGTGTCTTAATCTCCAGAATCTTCAGAACCAGTAAATAAGTTATATGGACATGCTATATTACATAGTAGAGTGGAACTAAGGCAGCAGATGGAATTAAGGGTTCAGATTAGTAACGAACTAATCTTAAGGTAATGTGATTATTCTGGATCATGTGGATCACTTAATATAACCACAAGTTTCCTTAAATACTGGTCTCAATATCTGAGATGTGATTGGGGAAAATCTCAGCCAGCCATTTCTGATTTTGAAGATGGAAAGAGCAAAGAATTGGTACAGATTCTAGCCACAGGAAAGGTAAAAGGTATAGATTTTTTTTCTCTCGTAGCTTCCAGAAAGGAAAATTAAAATAGGCTAATATCGATTTTAGCCCACCAAGACTCACTTTGGACTTATGACTTCAGAACTTTAATAAATTTGTACAATAAGCCACTAAGTGTGTGCTAACTTGTTGTAGCAGCAATAGGAAACTAATACAAATACAGACACAGTACAATAAATAATAACAAGGCAAACACGGTGTAGCTGATGCCAAGGTCAGTAATGGGAAATCTCAGCCGCCTAGAAGCCTGTATGTGTCCCTGTCCAATCACAAGCCTCACACACCTCCAACTCCCAATCACTCTGACGGTCCTTTAGAACCATCATTTCTTTGGTTTTTTTGTTTTTTGTTTTTGTTTTTG